CCCCCCCCCAAACGATCTGAGGTCCGCGTTGACAAAAACGTGGCTCACTTAAGCTCGCTATTTAACGAAGCCAGCTGCCTGTGCAACTATCATGGAGTAAAAAGGAAGTACAAACAATAAAATGTGCAAAACGTTTTTTTGGAACAAACAAAAGATATATGGTACACATCTAGATATGTGACGGCTGTAATGTTTTTACACATGAGCTTGCTCTCACCAAGCACATCTGGTAACAAAATGGCGACATCCACGCATCTAGACATGCGCAGTGTGCTTACATGACCACAAAGGAAGTAAGCTTTGTATCAATATATAAATAAAGAAATCCAGTTTTACCATCACTGTCTCTTAAAACTTCCTAACCTCCTACACATTTTGAGTGGGCGGGGAGAAGTACGGAAATCTCCCCCACACTGTGACGTCATTAAACACTGTATTTGACGTAGTTGACAACGTTTTCTTCTTGAGTATTCACTTCCAGAATGTTGTTGTAAGTTTGGTGAACATCATTTGCATCACATTTTATTTGTATGTTCAGGAGAATCAGTCACTTGAAAAGTACAAAGAACTTCGTGATTGTAGTATTATTACGCTCCTTCAATGCGGCGGTGTTGCATTGAGCACTCTGTCAAGTTGGTGTCTATTAGTGATCATCAGCTAAGCTCACTTCCTCTTTGTTTGAGCTCTTTGACCACAGGACGTAGCCGTAGGCCTAACCTGCGATCAGGCCTATTGCCGTAGGCCCTGACGAAGGCCCGCTCGAAACGTTGAAGTTATTTTTGTACTTTGCATGGCACAGGAAAAAAATTGAACATCCATGAATGGTGTTTAAAGATCTACCATGTATACTATCAATGTTAAAACTAAACTCTTACTATTATTGGTTATTATAGATTTCCCATATGATAAATTAGTAAAAAACACGATGTTTATTATTTACCATTAGTGGTATTTTCCTGGTCAATATTAAACATCATGGTTTTTACTAATTTACCATATGGGGAATCTATAACCATTGATGGTGATGTTCAGTTTTACATTGATAGTGTAGTACATGGTAAATCTTTAAAAACCATTCATGTATGTTCCATTTTTTTCCTGTGAAAAAAGAACTTGGACGTTTCCCGAGTCAGGTTGTTGATTCCCCTGCAGTGCTCGCAGGTTGAACTCACTTATAAAATGGGAGGGAAATCATTTTCACAAAACAAAAAAGTTACAACAACATTCAGGAAGTTATTCGATAATACGAAAACTATGTGAATCGAACGACGTCAGTGTGGGGACATTCATCCTCCGCCCACTCAAATTCCTGCGTAGGAGGTTAGGAAGTTTTAAGAGATCGTGATTGTACAAGCAAAATTATTGAGCACGCTATAATTTTGGTTAAAAACATTGGCGAGTTATTTACGAAGCAAAAAAACACGCTCACAATGTCGCATGCAGTTTTGCTAATTTCTTAACCAATTTTTAATCCAAATTGAACCAAAATTTAATCAGTTTGCCCTTGGGCAATACCCATTAGTCCCTGAAATTATTTTCCTTTTAGTACGTCGACAGACCGGAGGCGTGTGTATAGTATGGCCTGTAGGGGACAGGGTTAGGGTTTTGAGAAAAGAATTCTAGTTGAGTACTGTATTTTCCGATCATCGTAACCAAGGGTGTGTTACAGTCGTAAGGTGTTTGACACAACCTAGGCTAGTATTTTATAAATTAAACTTGTTTTTCATAAAAAGTTCCCAATTTCTAATTTTGGTACTGTTAATTATAATTAGCTCGATTACTGCCCACTTAGGGTAAAGCCTGGTTCGTATATGCCCACGCCGGGCATGCCTGCGCTAACATTGTTTACAGCTGTTGATGCGTACAGTCTTTTGTGAATTATCTGGTTGAACTAAGGCTTAACAGAAACTACATTTTATTTAAATAAACATATTTTGGATAATGATAGTATTTATCAAAAAATGTATGCAGTCACCTGACGTCGGGGAAAATTATAAAAGCGCGCCAAAACAGTGTCCGTAGTTAGTTTTCAGTGTATGGTTATACGCAGTGTACATCAAACAACTCGAGGCAGATTTTATTCAAAGAGTATATTGTTCCCCAGGTACGTATTAATATTGCTTATGTCTCTATTGTTTCACACGCTATTACTGTAGACCTAGCCATACTTTACGTTTTGGTTGGTAGTGAGGGTCAGATAACGCTAGCTTCCTCTGCGCTATATGTAATATATAGTAGAAACTACAAGCGACACATACGTGAAGGCAGATATTTTTACTAGACAGGGAAGGTGTGTTTCTGAGGTATCAGGTCATTTCGTACTCGACTGCCTATAGTCGTTTTGTCTCCAACTCTGGTTGACGGATTGCCAAAAAGCACAAAAATGATCAGATATAAGTCATGTAATTGTGAGTGGGTTTTTTTTCCGAGTTTTACCGCAAATCAAAACTATTTACGGAAATTGTCACACTAGTGACGCTGGGATATGCCGATATATTTGCTATCTAGGTTTCTCCATGTAACAACGAATGCATTTTTTCACGTAAAAACCCAAGTGGGACACGACCATCTTTGGTTCCAAACTGTCTTAAGGATGGATTGGAAACGAGCAAGCCTGGGACGAGGCAGGAGTACGTAACGACCATAAACCTATTTCTATTTTTGAGATGAGATTCAAGCTTGTTGACTAGACAGGACGAGGGGCATTATGTCTCGCGTGCTGGATGAATATAACGTTTATTTATTTATTTATTTATTCAAGCTGTTGTAAACAATGAAATTTCTGCAATTGGTTCTCGTGTTAAGTCTTCTGTCGCTGGTGCTGGTCAACGGCGACTTCAGTGAAGGAAAACATCGTATCCAGAAGAGAGCGGCGATACGTACACGTTCCAAATGTCGCAAAGCAGGCTGGGGCTTCACGTATTTGTCCGGCTGGTACATCTACGGTACTGATTATGGCTGTTGTGGCAATTACAAAGGATGTTGTAAATTTGCTTCTTGGCTTTGTTATGTACATGATATCTCGTGCAAATGTTGTCAACATGGCAAAGACATTTGTGGACCTACATGTAGAAAAGATCCATCATGCAAGTGAATGATTTAACCTAACAATTAAAGGAAATGAACCTTTGAAATAATGTAGCTAGTTTTCTACCCTGCGACTAATATTGTAACATGATCGTTGATTTCCACTCAAAGACGTTGTTTTAAAGTAAAAACGTTGTAAATCATATGTTTTGTATTTTTATTTTAATTCACTACTAATTAACAATAAATATTTAGTATACTAAATTAATACACTAGATTGATGTTACATTTTATTAACACTGTTTGTTTAATCATTATATTCCGTGATCAGGGTGTTAGAAATGGGAAATAAGCAAGCACGGCCCAGCGGGTGTTCCTGCAAGCTACACTACATCAATCTGTTTACTGATATATCTAATGCCATTCCAACTCATTTAGAGTTGAGATAACGGTTTCTTTATTTCCAAGTCTCTCTCTTCCCATAACGTCATTCCTGTGCAGGCACAAATCTTCTTGGGATTTTGAAATAATCCAGCTGACCTTGCAATGATTCCACACGCAAGTCTGAAAAAAACAATGTCAATGTTGAAACCAAATGGTTTGCTCAGCTAAATGCTATTTCTGGTGTTTGTTAATAAATGCAATGTTAGCCACAAACCTCCGTCCTGCGTTTCCGTCAATTTTGGATTGTGAATCGCTTCCTTTTCCCAAGTCATCTTCACGTTCTGTGACAACGATTGATCTACCAATCACATCCCACACCTGCAAGTAATGAACAAGCTTCTCAAAGAGCTAGTATGACTAGAGTTACAATTTAGCATAAACGATGCTTTATGGAGCTGGTTTCACACCTGACCAGAGCAAATGCATGTGTAGTCAAGCATGTGATTAGAAGGTCGTTAGAAAATCTAGGTTGCGTCAGAAATGACGAAGGAAGAAAGCATCTTGATTAACTTGCCTTCACGTCATGACTTTCCAAACGGAATTGTGCACGCTTTTTTTCATCAGCCTTGACGTTTCCTAAGTCACCAACATGCTGGAGAAAATTACAATTTACATCAAATTTGTAACAATTAATATTCTGATAACATCAACTTAAAATGAGTTTATTTTTTGAAGAGAATAAACTTTGTATTCTTTCACCTTTTCTTTGTCAAGAAGTCCACCATGATTGCTGTTGTTTGGGTTGTAGTGATCTCCTAAACTAAGATGAAAATTCACCCTTGAATACACAAACCTTCCATCACACATGAGCAGTAAGGTTTTACCTTTCACAGCCATCAGAAACATCACCAAGCTCATGTACGTGTAAACCATGTAACCCTTTCTGGAGCCCATCCACAGTACCATCAATTATACAGATTTCTCTGTCCACCTGGAATTAATATTTGTTATTATTTAGTCATTCTAATTAAATAAATATTGCATTAATGATACCTTGCATTACCTCTAATTAACTAATAAATTATTAGCATGTAATCATATTAGAAGTTATGGATTTTCCTACTTGTACAAAGCGTATCACACCCTGAATGTTATTTTCGCCAGACATTATTGAGACAGCAGCACCAATATGACTTGGGCTTCCATCTGAAATAAAACCACACAAAATTACAAAGTAAATGATTACAGTTAAAGAACTTGACCTAAACTTACCCATACCTTGTGTTGTACCATGTCCACGTAAAATTGCTTTTCTTCCCGTCTCTTCTAGAAGCTGTTGCATCTCGCCAGAGGGCAAGTTAGTTTCCACAGTTACTTGTTCATCACGTAAATTTATGTTGTACGACCTCACTCCTGTGATTAATCACAAAACAAGCATGTGTAAATTGTATGCTCCGAGATGAAAGGAGTGGATGAGTTGGTTGGTGTCTGTGAGACAAACAACAAGACAGCAGATGGTGGGAAAGTTATTAGCCCTGTGCAAACTAGGAAACATCGTTGTGGAAACATTGTTTCCTGCCAATGTTTCGCCATGTTTCCAAGAGTGGGCAAACACTAGGAAACATTAGTGAGAAACATACTGATAGGGAAACATTCAAATGTTTCTGAATTCGCTATAGGAAACAATTTTTGCTTCTCGGGAAGCAAATTTTGTTTCCACAACAATGTTTCCAAGGGTGGGCAAACAGGGAATCATTTGAGGAAACATCGAGAATCATAAATGTTTCGACAACAATGTTTCCTAGTTTGCCCAGGGCTTTAAGAAATGTTGACACTTGCAGGAGAATGGGTTGTTCTAGGAAAGATCTACCCCTCCCCCTTTCTCCCAGGGGGTTAAATTCCAATTTCTTCTGTGGGGGAGATCAATGTTTTCTGGAATCTTCCATTATGAAACTACATATCTCATTTCTGTTTATTTGCCACCAAGTACAACTATATCATGAAACAAACTAACATTATTTTGTGAGTTTGGGAATGCAGGTTGACCATCATCTGCTGCATGAGAGTGAAACGTTTCTACACTACAATAGTTTGACAACCTTTCCTTGACTTGAGCACATTCTCAATGGCTATCACACAACTTTGACATGTCATTTCTACTGCAAACTCCATCTAAATAAATACATATTCATTTGTGTTTTTTCTCAAGTTTCTTTTGATCAAGTTGATGAAGTAAATATGGGTAGGCCCTTTTTATTTGTAAGCAGTTTATTACCAACTTCAACTTAACCCCCCCCCTCCCTCTTAAAATAAGGTGTATTTTTTTAATGGCAGGACCGCCAGTCCTTTCAAACACACTCCTGTGTGGGTGCATGTACTGAGTAGCTAGGGGTTCATATGGTTCACAACCATAATAGGGTTCAATGACAATAGGTAAGGGTGGGGTGGGGCAAGTATCTTCCATTTTCATTAGTAATCTAATGTGTTTTTCTGATGTTACTCTGGGGATGTGGGAGGGGGCCTTTTTGCACTGCACATGCATTGTATTGTCACATGACCAATATTCTACCAATCAACATCCAGTAATTTATTGGATGTTGATTGGTAGAATTATTGAATATTGGTCATTTTATGTCTTATACCAACACATACATACCTTTGTAAAAGTACTTTCTGATTCCGACATTTTTTATCATGAAGTAAAGGTTTATTTTTGAAATAATTACATTTCGTATTAAATTGTCAAAAATCAGCTGAAAATCTGAAATTGTTACTTCGGTGCTTCCACTTGATCATATGTTTCGTCGTTCAAAAATAAATATAATATTAATACATTGACGTTTTCCTGAAAAAAATCTTTTAAATATCTCCAAAATCATGAAAATTATAACACTTTTCTTTCAAAGTCGGTGTAGACTGTAGGACTGTCAATTTCTTTTCATTCTTTTTGCAAAATTATCTTGTGAAAATTAAATTTTACTGTTAGTGAAAACCCAGGTTGACCTGAAGAAATTGTGTTTTGCTCAAGTGGAACAAAAGGCGGGAACGAAGGCGCGAAGTCCACACATTCCACAGCACACGTGCGCGAACCAAAACAAGAGCTGTATAATGGCTGCGAAAAATGTCGAGTATGAGCCATTATCTGTAGAAAAGTCAAGGCAAAAACCTCTTTATATCTTTTATGACTGTGAAGCTGCGAACAGTCAAGTTACAGCCGACATAGTTGAGATTGCAGCCAGATGTTTTCCTGAAATCACCACTACTGCCTTCGAAAGCCTGATAAGTACATCGCAGGAGCTGGGCAAATTCAGTAAGGACATTGTTTCTTTGTTTATTATGCTTATTATGTTGTATTTCTTTGTTTATTATCTTATTATGTATGCTTATTATTGTAATCTCTATATGGAATATTGAAAGTATATTTCTTTTGTACTCGAATTTTAAGACTGCTGCATTCTGCAAATATATACACGCGACAAGATTTTGTATTAAAACATTTTCAAACTTTCTTTGACTTTGATATATCATCTTGTTGTGACAGCTTGTTCATTAATATTCAAAACTAAATTTGCAAGCGCAACATTTGAGCATTCCTTTTTCTTCATTTTCTAAGCCAACCTAAATCACACAAATGCTGCATTTTGGTAGCAATAAAATTAAACTAAATCTCACAATTCTACAGTTTATTGCCAAATACAAGACTACTATATATAATGAAAAGAATTACCCTACAAGTGCCCTGGAATTACCCTACAAGTGCCCTGGAATTACCCGACAAGTGCCCTGGAATTAGCAAGGTCCATCCCATGTAAACCCTACGCCGGACATACGCCAACGTTAATTTGCCCTTGATCATGCCAAGTTATTTAGTTAAAAATTTTACCTTTGGGAATTATGGCTCATGTCTCATTACAACCCGCACGCTTAAAATCACAGCGGGAAAAGTGCAGTTCCCGTTGCGATTTTCGACTTAACCAACACGCTGCCTATAACTGCAAGACACCTTCACCCGTCACCAATCAACTACATCTCAGTGTGTGATTCTGAAGTATGATTGCGGTTTAGTTTCATCTTCCAGTTATTTATTAATTTGTATGTTTAATTTGAATATTTACACAATCTATAACTTGACCCAGCTTTCTTTTTTGGCAAACTTGGAAACGTATTCTCTCGGAGCAAAAGCATGTATTGCTTATTGTTTAATTAACTTTGTTTGCCTCTTAATATTTAAATTTCTTTCTTTAGGCCCGTTTTATACGCAATGACAATAGGTTTGAATTGCATTCGACGCGACCGAAATTCGACGGAAAACAGGCGGTAGTCTGTCGGTGTAGCATTATACTCTCTTTAGTCAGCGCATTCGTATAAAACACCACATTTTGTAGGCTATAGTGGTAATGTTTTTGTGAGACGCGGAATTATTATCGGGTCAAAAGAAACAGTTGGCGGCACGTACGCTTCTGGCGTATACTGCGCCTGCAGGAAAACGTTGGATAAGTGATGATACACGCTACTTCAAATCTTCAATTCATGCACTTCGATTCATGCAATTAAACGGATTTAATATTGCTCACATGGATAGGATAAAATAGAGGAAAAATAAAACCACAACACTGTGAAGACAATTCAACTTTTTTTAGAATTGCCTTCACTGATTTTAACAAACTTTTATTCAAGAATCATGGATTATGTTACAAGAATTTAGTTTTACAAATTTGTACAAAAATAGCTAGCTATAAAGACTGTACAATATTTACTGTAAACAAAAATTTTAAAGCAAAACCGGATCATGAAGATGAAGTTTTTCCTGAGAAGATATATTACATGCACGCGGCAATCCTCCGCTGTTAGACGTACCAAAATAACAAAGTAGGATGAACTGAGATGGGGGGAGGGTAATGCAACACTGAAGTTTTCACCATATCAAAATGAACTCTTTGCATTCTTTTGTCCAGGGACATTTAAAATGTGGATTTAACTTAATTGGAGGTACTTGCTACAGTACTTGTCCTTAATTTGATACAATGTAATTTAAAATTAAACAGTCGTAAGTACAATCCTAGCTTGAACTACTAGCTGCTCAAACACATTGAAGATTATGAAAACCGTTGGAGACTGTTAATACCGGTACATATTATTTTAAATTTTTCCCGCAAAATTATAATTTAAAATAAACATGATCGAGTTAAGTAACGCACCATAGTTCAAACCAGCTGCCTAAAGACATTGAAGTCTTGACAACCTGTTGCCCAAAGACATTGAAAATCTTTACAACTTGGAGGCTCTTTCTACAAGTGCATAATTTATTAACATCATTTATCTTTAATAGGTTTTTATTATTAGTATATATAACGCACCATAGTTGAAACCAGCTGCCTAAAGACATTGAAGTCTTGACAACCTGTTGCCCAAAGACATTGAAAATCTTGACAACTTGGAGGCTCTTTCTACACGTGCATAATTTACTAACATCATTTATCTTTAATAGGTTTTTATTATTAGTATATATAACGCACGCACCATAGTTGAAACCAGCTGCCTAAAGACATTGAAGTCTTGACAACCTGTTGCCCAAAGACATTGAAAATCTTGACAACTTGGATGCTCTTGCTACAAGTGCAAATTTATTGTAAAATTAAATCATAATTTAAAGTAAACATGAGTTATCCATAATAGGTTTTTTAATTAGTATATATAACACACCATAGTTCAAACCAGCTGCCTAAAGACATTGAAGTCTTGACAACCTGTTGCCCAAAGACATTGAAAATCTTGACAACTTGGAGGCTCTTGCCACAAGTGAATAATTTATCGTAAAATTATTATTTATAGTAAACATGAGTTTATAATCTTTATGATTTTGTTATTACTCAGTAACACATCTTAGTTTAAACCAGCTATCTAAAGTCATTAAATCTCGACAATCTGTCACTATGAAAGACATTGAAAATTTGACAAGCTAGAGGTTTTTGCTACATTGCCACCCCTCCCCCCCCCCGGGCGTGAGAGGGCGTGCTGACGTCATGGGCGGTCAATGTCAATATTAAATTTTTAATTATCAAAAATATATAACCTGGAGTTTGGAGGTATTAGTGTCGTGAAAAATTCCCGTCTGCATGCAATACTGTAGCCTGTTTAATAGATAAATTTTTTACCCCAAAAGTGGACGGCCGTCCAACTTCAAGTTGAAATTCAATTCTCCACCATTATTCTGTCGAATGCACCAGGCTAATACCTATGTCAAGCTTACTTGTCCTCCTTGAATAGGATCAGGCGTCTTTTGCACGGGCTGGTTATTTCGCTGGTCGATATCCAAGCATCATGGGTTTGATATTTCCGCGGGAATCTTGGCTTTACTTTGCTTCAAGCAAGCCGCGCTTCGTAATGATGTAATTTCTGCGTCTTGGTGTATTAATTTCAGCCTACGAGCAGGCTATGTTTAATTAGGAATCCAGTGTTGGCACAATGTAGTCTACATAAATCGTCGTTTGATATCTTCTCACACAAAATGTCTTTGGTAAAATTAGCGCCAAATTGCACCAGTGGAATCGCATTCACAACGCGTAACATGACCTTGACGCGTAACATGGCTTGATGTTCAAGAAATCCTCGTTCACTTTACGCAGCCTGAATGCCATTACCAAAATACCATGTAATTTCCATTATATCACTGCTTCTCCTTGGTCCCTCCTATACTGTACGGTTCTGCCACAAACGTAGTAATGTCTGACTTATTGAATTAAATCATTTAAATGAATTTCGTCAGACAAACTCTTGAATATCTCTACACCTAATCGTTCGGTTTGACTTGAGATAACCGTCTATTTTACTATTGTACGCATACTGGCAATTTCTATCTCCATCGAGAGGTTGAAAATACGCAGTGGTATCGCCGCATTCTTAAAGTTTGTGGTGTTTTTATATATAAGCTGCGCCATGGCAGTCTTGGCAGACAATTAAGCTTCGCTGTGTTATTGAATTTGGCGCGCTAACGCTGTTTACTCAGTTCTAGTTATGTAGTGTAACAGAACACTGATACAAAAGCAACATTTTAACTATTTACATAGTTATATATTACAAAATCTCTTCCTACAGAGATAAAATATCACACCAGCTTGCCTAATTTCGTCCCAAGCAAATCAATTTACTGTCATCAATCAGGCACATCATAGTTAGGGCACATTGAGCAGTATACAAACACCTCGAGACTTAATTTCTTCACACATGTGCGGGTTGTAATGATACCCCAGTGTAGTGTCTAGCATAATTAACATAATTAACATTAATTATGGACCACGAGGAAGTAAGCAAGATGGCGATATAGATGCAACTGTAAGATTATGTTCTGTTAGAGATTATTAAAGAAAGCATAGATAACAATGTTATAGACAACATTATATTGGCGACGAGGATCGTTTCATATACAAGTACCTCAAATGGCGACTAGCTTACCAGAATTTGCTTCTTTTGACGCCGAGAATCGGGAAAATATCGAAATTCGATGGCAACGATGGTTCATGCGATTCGAAAATCTACTGATTGCACTCGATATAAAAGACAAGAAAAGAAAACGAGCGTTATTATTATACTATATCGGTGAAAGTACTCTAAATATCTTTGAAACACTGCCCGAGACAGGCACAGAAGACGACTATGACGAAGCGTGTCAAGCTTTAAATGAACACTTTAAACCTCGCAAGAATACATCGTTTGAAATATTCAAGTTCAGGAAAACAAACCAACTTGTTGACGAAACTCTCGATCAATACCATGTACGACTCGTCCAGAAAGCTAAGTACTGTGAATTCTCAAACTTAGATACTGAGATAAAAGCTCAAATTGAGCTAGGGACCAATTCCAAACAACTTCGACGATATGCTTTCCGTAAACCAAAACTGACTTTGGCTGAACTCTTAGACTATGGACGGACACTTGAAACTGTTGAAGAAGATGCGAGCGGAATTGAGCAAAATATGAATGAAACACCAATGAAAGATATCCACGCCGTACGACGAAATCCGGCTGCTACAACGCCTAAGAAAATATGTTTCTTTTGTGGATTAAACTGGCCACATGTGAATGTTTGTCCGGCAAAAGGGAAAACATGCAACCATTGTCACAAGCAAAACCATTTTGCACGATGTTGTAAATCGAAAATTTCAGCTGGACAGCGTGAAAGTAAGTTTCCTCAGAAATCCAATGAACGAAGATCCCAAGTGAAACAAATAGACGAACAAGGTACGAATTCAAGCTCAGATGAATATGTTTACACAATAAAAAAACAAACCCCTGATACTAACAAAGTCGTTTTAACATCTATCACCACTTCACCCACAGGAGGAACTGTTAATGAAGTTAACAGTGACTGTCGAAAACGAAATTTCTACACCCATATTAAAATCAATGACATAACTATTCGTGTAAACATTGATTCTGGTGCCAGTGTAAATATTATCGATAATACTAGTTTTGAGAAATTAACACGCCAGAACAACATCCACTTGATGAAAAGCAAAATAAAACTTTTTGCTTTTGCCACTAACACACCCCTCGACATCAAAGGGTATTTCGAAGCTTCAGTTGAATCAGGAACAAAAATTACCACAGCCCAATTTTATGTGATAAACACTGATGCTGGATGTTTAATAAGTGGAAACACTGCAATTGATCTTGGGTTATTAAAGCTAAACAAAATTGCATTTGTTACATCTCGACCTGAAACCCATCAACCTAAGAAAAATGCTCCAACAAATAGCAAGTCTAGACCTAAAAGATTGAGAACCTTATTTTCGAAATATGATCAATTATTCCAAGGAATCGGAAAAGTCCCAGATTACAAAGTCCATTTACACATTGATAAAACTGTCCAACCCACAATTCAAAAAGCCCGCAGAATCCCATTTACAATGAGAACCAAACTATCAGAAGAACTGCGACGTCTTGAATCATTAGATATTATTGAAAGTGTAACAGGCCCCACGTCCTGGGTATCTCCCATTGTTTGTTTCCCAAAACCCAACAATCCCGACCAAATTCGTCTTTGTGTTGACATGCGTATACCCAATAAAGCCATTTCACGGGAACGTCACCCTTCTCCCACAACTGAAGATTTAATTGAAAAACTAAATGGTGCTGCATATTTCTCAAAACTTGATCTAAGCTCTGGGTACCATCAACTAGAGTTGGATGAAGCTTCGCCTGACATAACTACATTTGCAACTCATGAAGGTCTCAAAATATATAAACGTTTGAACTTTGGCACAAATAGTGCTGCTGAGATATTTCAAAATGTCATTCAGACCACATTCCAAGATATTGACGGTTGTATAAACATAAGCGACGACATACTAGTTTTTGCCAAAACACAACATGAACATGACATGACATTAGAATCTGTTCTACAGCGTGCTAATGAAAAGAATTTAAGATTCAACGGTGACAAATGTGAATTTGATAAACCAAGCATCACGTTTTATGGTCATGTTTTCTCGAAGCAGGGTATATCCCCATGTCCTAAAAAAATCGAAGCGATCAAGTCTCTAAAACCTTCAGCGAATGTTTCTGAACTTCGTAGCTATTTAGGAATGATAACATATTGCGGCAGATTTATTCAAGATCTTGCAACACTGACTGCCCCATTACGTAAACTTACAAAGAAGGACATAAAATACGAATGGAAAGAATCACAACAACGTGCGTTTCATACATTACAAGAAAGATTGAACGAAAAAACCACTTTATCATACTTTGACCCTTCAAAAGACACCAAGCTCATTGTAGATGCCTCTCCCACTGGCCTAGCGGCAATATTAATACAAAATACCCCCAGCCAAAATGACGAAACTGTCGTTGCATATGGCAGTCGTGCTCTTACAGAAGTAGAACAAAGATATAGTCAGACAGAACGCGAGGCATTGGCAATTGTTTTTGGCTGCGAACATTTTCGTTTATTTCTCTATGGAATTCATTTCACAATCTATACAGACCATAAACCATTAGTATCGATTTTTCAGAATCCAAATTCACATTGCCCTGCACGACTAGAACGCTGGCGTTTACGCCTACAGTCGTACAATTTCCAAATTCACTATCGCCCTGG